CCCCCGGGGATTCTGTGCGGGCGTTTGGGTGCCGGGCGTCTTTCTCCCTTCCCCTTCGGCGCAGGAGGGGGCCGGGGAGGGGTTTCTCCTCACACACCCCCCCAGCCGGGCCCGGTCCTGCGCCCCCTCCACTCCACACGCACCCCGCACGGGGCATTCCTCCTCATCCAGCCCCTTCCCCCCGGGCCGAGCCCCGCGGTTTCGGCCGACCCCCGGGAGGTCCCCCCGGGCTGGTCTCCGGCAGGCGCAAGTCCGCCCGGCCCTCTCCTTCAAGGCACCGCGGCCTGCCCCGGCTGCGGGGAGCGGGGCAGGCGGGCGCCAGGCCGGGCTCCGCCGCACTCGCCGGCCCTTGCCGGGACAGCCTCGGCCTTTTCCAGGCCGGCGGGGGGGTGTTTCCTCCTCATCCCATCGCAACTTAGTTGCTCCTCCTTTGGCCTGCCGTATCGCTGCCGAAGAGGTTTCCCTCTCCGTTTCCCATCCCTGCCGGGGCTCCATCTCCAGCCATCCCGCTCCTCTGTTTCGTCTCTTGCCACAAGCTCTTGGGGGCAGGGAGCGTGCGTGCCTCCCTCTGCACGGTACGCGGGGTGGAAAATAGGACACCGAAGACACTTAACAACAGAAAGAAACAGAAAACTAAAATAGCAAGGTGCCAGGAGCGGTGCAGCTCTGGAGCCTCAGACAGTCACCGGCCGTGCTGTTTACGCCCAGACCTTTCATAGCCCCGTATCAAATCGCGCGTTCCCTGCATTTCCGCAACACGTTTCATTGGGAATTTTTCCTCGCAGGTGAAGGTCAACAAAAATCCGAGATCAGAACAAGAACTGATCCCTCCCTGCGCATTCCTCGGCCTTCCAGAAACACTGCAGCCAAGGGCCTGTTCGTGGTCCCCTTCTCTTAATGCAAAAAAACTCCCTCCAATACGAAAAGGTGAGCAACAGACTGTATATTACCATACCTACTAAATACAGAATAGTTGGACATTCAAATTTCAACCGCCTGGACTTCCCCCTCCTCGGCCACAGCTCTCAACAGAAACATACCCTTGCTGGTACATTGCTCTAACTCCCTGCCATTTATGCCGTATACAACACAGCTTTAGGGAGAAGTGCCTGTGTCAACTGCACATGCATTTAAATAGCAGAGCCTGTTCCTGACAATGCATGAACAGCATGAAGCAAACTGTAAGAGATCAGAAGCTGAGTTCTAGGTACGTTACCTAATCCCAAAATCTCGATGATAACACAAGGGCATAAATAAGATTCCTGCCAGGCACTCTTGTTCTCAAACACCTAGGAATAACATCTATATACTAGAAGTTCAGGAACCTTCCATGCTACTGCGCCTCATGTTGCCAGGAGTTAAAGCCTACGAGCACCAGAGAAGTGGAATGGAAAGCAGGACAGCTCTGCTGCCAGGGAGTGCTGCCATTAACACTGGTCCTCCCAATACAGAGGAACTTGTGGAACATCAGTCTTTCCTACCAAATGCCAACAGACCAATATAATCTTATTAGCTAATGCCAATCACATAGGACACCATGCTTCTTCCCTCTAATTAACCTTACCTTGATACACTTCTTCAAAGCCAGGACACTGGACTTGGAAAGCGTCTAGAAAACAGGTTTCTGGAAACTCAGGACCAGATACATCATTAAGCATCCAGGACCATACCTTGCTTGAAGCTATATTCAGGACCCGGCCACTCTACAACATATAGCTTTTTCCTCCTTGGAGCAAAGTGAGCACGAATCAGGAAGCCAGGAGACTGATAGTCTGAAGAATTTGTTGTTTTGAAGAAGTTCAGTGCAAAGAGGGGAAGCGTGGGATTAAATCATTTTCAGCGTGATACTTGACATATATAGGCAGGACATTTTATACTTCCTCTTTTGGTTTTCTTTTGAGGAAGACAGAAGCTTGGGAAAAAAAAAGGGGGGGGAAATGCAAGACATGCAGCCATGACTGCCTCTCCTTCTGCAGCTGTATGCAATACATTGGTCAATAGTAATGGAGTGACAGAATACCTCTATCTATATTTATTATACACCTCCTTGTTGCATCTTTTCTGCAATAAATGCCTCCCCGCTTTTAACTTAGGGAACATAAAGTACTGTGCCTTGAGAGAGGAAGGCTCCTCGGAGACCTGTTCCATGGCAGGCCCAGCATTTGCATTTTAGGCCTCGATGATTTTTGTTACTTTCATTATATTTTATTGTGTGTAACAACATAATGACAATAAAAATTAGCTGGAGGAAATCCTGGAAAAAAAAATAGGAACGAGAAGGGAACTTATCCCCTGCTGTAGTAAATTGATGTAAAATTCGGTGGAGTGACAGTGTTGAACATTTACAAAAAATTTGCTCATCATTGTCAAAAGAAGCATCACACAAAACTACACCAATGACAAAAAGGAAGCATAAAACCCTTATGCCACACGGTTTAGTAGATTAACTCTTGCTCATAATGGGCTGCATTCCCATTTCAATGTTTAATGAAACACTTAGAAAGACAAAGCACTAATAAACCAATTCAGAAGTAGACTCTGAAACCATAACTGCTTCTCTTTTCTGCAAACGCTGAATTTTTTGGTGGGAGCTGACTGTGTACCTACACTAATATAGATGCCTATTTATGTTACCTCTGCCTGGGCAGTTTTACAATGTGAAATCCAGGAAAGGAGGGGGGGGAGGGAGGAATCAATAAGCAATTACACTGTGCAGTACCAATTAAAATAGATTTTTTCTTTTGGTGGCTCTAAAGCCGTCACTTAGCCTGAATTTACATATAGTACCATCAGACAGACATAGATGCTAGAAGTGGAAACTGCATATTAACTTCACCAGTTCATGTCTCCAGGGCAAACCACCAATGTCTCCAACAGTCTATTTTTTACAGTCCAGACCAGAGCTAAGCAGCTCCAGTAAGGAGGACCCTGAAGCAAAGAAGGTTGACTCCTACGAAGGAAAACTTCTTTTGACTTAAAGGATGGCACAAAAAGGACAGCTCCTCGGAGGTGCCTCATACGGGACTCCTGAAAAGGCAGGCTTATAGAGAAAGGTTTCACGGAGGTTTCTTTTGCAAAGACCCAGTTCTCCAGCCTCGCACCCGAAGCTCACTGAGGAGCCGTTGCCATCTGCTGGCAAAGCCTTGTACCGCACCTCTCCTCCCACGCCCTCCCCGCTGGCAGTTCAACAGCGAGGTCCTGCTCACACCCTCGGTCCCCTTTTGAAACAAGCATTTCGAAGGGGTGTCAGATAGTGGAGCTCTAGGGTGCTCTGCTTGCTCAACACTGACCGCCTAAGGGTTCAGATGCGGACGTATGAACGGGGTTCGCACTGCTATGGGCACAGCGTAAACTAAGGTAGGAAATCGGCAAAAGATGGTACTTCTTTTACTCCCTGATGCCAGATTTATCACACTGTGTTGCTTCTGATAGCTGGTATACTTCAAATTTTAAGCATGAACAAACAGTGAATGTAATAATTTTTTTTTTCAGGAAAATTTCCCTTCACAACATTTCAGGTAGGATCATCAGTCATTAGAGCAACTTACCTGTGAGTGCAATGGATCTCCTGCAGACCTCAAGTAAAGAATAGATAGCTTTGTAAAATTGTGTGTTCCAAGTCAGACATGATGGGCTATTAGCTGTGTTTCGCTGATCTTCATCATAAAAATTAAGTGGATAAAGAGTCTTTTAACTTTTGCTACTTACAAGTAATCAATTTAAAACTAGTGATAGAATGCACCAGTATTTAAACTTACCATAAATTGCTATGCCACCTGCCGTTCTGGCAAAAAAAGAGTCAGCTGCTTTTGGAAGGCAACAGCCAACCTTTACGCCTTGCACAGCTGGAGAGGAAATGATTCCCAAGGCTAACAGAGAAGACAGCTCATTTCCCAAATATGCATATAAATTTGTAACTCCCGAAGAACGGATAGGACCTTGACCTTGTGTCAGGACTGGGGTAAGCCTGGCTCTGCACTCAAGCTTAGCACAACTTAAACCTTCCTGCCTTCCTGATTTTTTTGTAGTACCCTGCAATTCCATCCAGTCAAACTCACCTAAGCACTGACAGCTGCTGCTTAGTTCAGCACCCTTTGATCCTGGGGAACTGCTCTAGCATGAGATTCTTCTGAGCCAGCTGAGAATGTGTGGGGGATTTCATTATTTGCCGAGATTCTACTTTTGAGGGAGCTGAAGATAGTAATGATACCCTGAATCAAATCCAGACACATGTCTATCTCCTTGCCCATCCACTGCATTTTCCAGCCAGATGCTATGCTGATGCTACCCAGCTTCACTGCGACATGGATGCAACCTGCTTCAGAAACCAATATGACCAATCCAATGGCCACTAATGGACATCTGGATGCAACCCTAATCTGAAAAAAAACCCCATGAATTTGTGCTGTGCTTCACATTGCTATGCATTTCAAAGCCTTTTACCATCTCATACCTTAAAATAGGCACATGATTTGCTCCCTACAGACAGGCAGCTTGTTCTGCATGCAGTTCACTGGAAATCCTGGAAATGCATACAGGGCTGGTCTATGCTTTTAAGTCACTTGGACACAAATGCAATACTTTGCTGACTTAGTTGAGACACAGATAGCTTAATCTATCAGAGCTTCTACTGTGACAGCTTATTACAGTTCCTAAACCTGGATAATCCACATTGCAGTAAGCATTTTTATAGCACTAAGCTTTCTTTCCATATCAGCATAATTAAAACAGCAACCTTTGTAAGGACAGATGAAGCTGCTGTACATTCTGTCATGAGTTTCCTTCTTGCTCTCTGCTAGAATCAATGTCCTCTGATTGGGGGGGGGGGGGGGTTAAAAGAAAAAAGTTATTTATTATTAGGGTAAAATCTAAAGAGATGGAGAATAACATTATTTCTCATCGCATTTGAGGATTATCAGTTACACTGAACAGATCTTAACCTTCTGACATGATACATAATTCAAACAACATCATAATACAAGCATTGCTGAAAACCTGTATGTTGTAACATTTGAGAAGCCACAGAAACCAACACTTTCTCCTTCCCATACAAAATTAACTACCAGCAAACTGTTCTTACTTTGCAAAAGCTTTTCCATACACCTTGATCTCTTCAGTTCCTTCTTAAAGTCATGTTCTAAAGATCCCTTATATTGCCAATTTATCAGCTGCCAAACTTCCCCTGGAACTTGAGGGAAACAGGACAAAGCCAGCAAAAGCTAACATCTTCTCTTACATGAATTTACTAGACCACATATTGAAGATGACTTGGAAAGAGAAATCTGTTGGTATATTGGTATAACCAAAAAAGAGTTGCTCCTTGCCCAGAAATTGCTCATGCAGCACAAAGCTAATGCTGACTGGTTCCCTCTCCATCTCTGAAATTTGATTTCTTTGGAAATGGCAGCAGACATTATTTTACTTCCAGCCAAGCTATACAAAGCCTGCAAGTGTTAGGAACATACCCACGACTTCCATAAAGCTTAAAACTTTCTCTCATCCTTTTTTGTCCAAGAAACAGGCCTGCTGACAGCACTGGTATTAGTCTAATAACAGACTCCAAAGACTTAAGATGCTATGTTTTTACACCAGTGCTTGGACCACTGTTGCAAGGGAATAAAGCCTTGAATATCATAAGATTGCAATTTCTTCAAACACAAATAAGGAGATCAACTAGAAAAAGAAGGTAGAGGACTGAAGGAGGAGGTTAATTTCATAAAGCTTTACTGCAGGGCCAGCAGTAGAAACAAAAGGCAGGCAGCAGGGAAGGAACGGCTTTAAAAGAAATAATGGGAAGACAAAAAATGAAATTAATTGGGGGTAAGGGGGCAGATTTCACTCTTTACAGTCAAAGCATATTTGCCCATTGAGTTAAGGCTAGACTCTGGCATGTTGTTCCTGAAGATGTGAAACTTGGAAGATGCTTGCAGCTGTAAAGCAAAGCTTCAAAATGCTGCTGTACTTTCTTCTCTGCTTCTGGACTACCTCAGAGGTTAAACAAACCCCCAGCATAAATTATTGCAGTCCCTGAGACCCCTTCATCATGCAGCCATGCTGCTTGTAGAGCGTAAAGAGGCCAGCATCTCTAGAGGGCTCAACACTACACAGCTGCTCCCCAGCACTGGAGGATTTTGAGGTAGATTTAAGGGTTACATCCAAACAACTAAATTGGCTTAACTATTTATAGAAAACAGACTTTTGGCATACTGGTGTGCTCTGGCAAAATGCTGTGACCATAAGCAAAGCAGAGTAGCTATTCTTTACCAACACAACACTTAAGGTCTTTCCTGAGCGCGGCTTGGCTACACACTCAGAGCTGCAGGCGCAGACCATGCAGGGCAGGGCCTTTGTTCTGTACTGGGTCTATACAGTGCCTGGTTCACAGAAATTCTTGTTGGTGCCTAGCTCTCTTACTGCAGTCAGTGAAAGCATCACTGAAAGAAATGTTTTCCTCTCCTCTTATTTTAGGAGCATCCTTTGAAGCAGAGCTTTTAAAAGGAGTGCACAACTTTCTAAATCACTTGACAAAGCTGTTCTGTGTGTTGGTGGCTTTCCCAGTGCTAAGCTACTGCATAAAGGGCAAAAGACGCCCCTATGCAAACAAGACCTGAGGCCTGCACAACATCCTCCTGGCAGCTCACATCTCCCACAGCAGATTATGTGGCACAGTCAGTCCTGCCCAGGGAGTTTTGGGGCGTGAACAGAACATGATATACACAGCTCCCAGCAGCTGCACAGCCCTGCAGTTTCTCTCTGGCTCTGAATGAAGACAGCTCCCCAGTACGTAAGCAATAACACCACAGCAGGCACGTGGAGAGACAGACTAGCATGACTCAGACCCCAGACTAAATCTGCACCTTTGCACAGTGCTGACTTTGGGTCATCTCTACAGCTGCAAGTACCCCCATGCAATATTAAATAATGCTAAAAAAACTCTCTTCCCATCAAATGTTCCAATGAAGCAATTCCTGGGCAACAATGTTTAGTTTACGAATGAGAAGAGCTCATGGTTCATGGTGTGGAAACACAGGAAAACCTTCTCCTTTAGCATACAAGGCATGGAAAGCAAAGGAAACATTTTTGCTCTGCAAGTTGCTTGAGGATAGGCGCGTGAAAGGCCTGGGAACAAACACTGTGGAAGAAATGCACCCTGCTCAGCCAGTCAACAACCTGAAAGCACCTATTAGCAAACACCAAACTACCAAGTACTCCTCAGGACAACCTTGCAAAGAAGAGTGGTTTCTCTGCCTGTTAACATGTCTAAGAAGCAATAATGGTGAAAGCTAACAAGTTGTTGGTTCACTCCCTAAAAAGCACCCACCGACCATAACTTTGTTCATCTACACCGGCAATGCCAACTCATCCAACAATACACAATACAACTTAAGAATTGCATCCAAAGAGAGAAAACAAATTCCTCATATAATTAAATAATCTTTATTTTATAAAACATAATACAAAGCATCTACACCATTCACTGGTGGAACATTAGTTGCTATTACACAGTAATTCAAACACAAGTTGTTATTTCACACTAGTTCTGCAGTTTCCTTTTACAATTTGCTCTAGCCATTATGGACTAGCCTGAGGACAGGTCCCACCATGTGCTCCATAGCTTGAAAGTTATACTTCTGGGTCTGTGATTCTATGCTGGAGCCCACTAGACAGACTACAAGACCTTGCTCTGAGACATCATTGCTAGCTCTACCTCATGAAGCTATTCCTAATTGCTCTTTTATTTTCTGGTGCCCTTGCTTAACTTCTAAAGCCTCAACATTGATCACAGTGCTCTACTTCTTCCAAGCAAGTTTCCCCCCAGTTCAAAGAAGGGGACCACTCAGCCATTAAGTGCATTATCTTTCAAAACATCGTCACGCAAGGTGTTTCATAGATAAGTGCAGTCACTAACTGACATCTTATTCATTTGGGCAGGTATGGGCTGCACAGCCCCCACAGAAGGGCTGTTACTATGCATTAAGCTGCATACCAAACCTCAGCAGAGGTCAGAGTCCAAATCATCACAACTGCTCAGGAAACTCTTCTTGGTGGGCAAGTCAACAGCCACACTGAGAAATGGACAGGCTGTTTTCACCTACATTTCTTCAGGACTTGGACTTGTTGCTGAAAGCCCTTATTCCCTGGTCAGGCTGGCTGCTGAAACTCTTTTGGCTCCAAATTTACTGTAATCCTTACTAGAAAAAACCCACCAGACATCCTTTCTTCAACCTGAGAGTCCACCTGAACAAGAAGCAGCATGGCTGATTTTTACATGTGTCTAGCTTACTCCTTTTGACTCCTACCCATAAGCACCACTGTAAAACACCTTGGACTCCTGCTTTTGTGAGGCAAGCCAGATGCTGGGAAGTGCCATGTTCATGTAACAAAGCATTGATGACGGGTCATAGTGAGAAGTGCTTCACTCAAAGCAACAGCATTTTGCCTTTATGCAGCACAGCTTGACACAGACCACCAAGTATTCATCAAAGGTGGCTTACTGTTAACAAATTAAAACACCCCGCGAGGTAGCTAATACTGTACCCACTTAATAAAGTGGGTAAGCTGAGGCAAAAAGGCTCTTTGACATGCCCAACAGCAGCAGCAGAGCTGGGAAAGAACCAGCAAGCCCCAACCAGCCCTGCTTGTCTCCCTTCAAGGTTCAATAGTCATATCACTGCGCTGTGCTAAATGAGTCAAGTTTCCTTTTCAGGACCAGCTCACCCACCAGTTGGCTCTGCTAATCTGAAGTGCTTTGGGCTCTTCAGGTCTTTGGCTGCAACAGGCAAGGCTCACAGCAGAACTGGCACCTGAGCTGCACTGGAGGCCTGGTGCTGAGGCTCAAAATAAATGATCATAATAATGACAGCAATAACAAAGGAACAGCGCTTAAGAACATACAGTGAAATAAACACCAGAAGCTGCCAACTGGGGGACAGTTTTTCCCTGCAAATGGGACCAGATAAGTAACACTTATTTTTTTTTTCCCAGTGAGGTTCACTTTTTTGCTTAAAAAAGGCCAGATTCTGTGCCTCTCTCTCCTTTAATTATTAGGCTGTAAAATGCTCACTTTTACAAAATGACCCAGATCCAACCAGGGAGACAGAAGTGAATTCAAAGCCCAGGGGTCAAGGCATCAATTCAGATGATGGAGAGCCAAGGTTAAGTCTCTGGCTTGAACAGAGCAGAGGACAGACTTGAAGCTGGGTAGCTCTTCCACCTTAGCCACCGTATTTTGAAGATGCATGTTGGCCACTCTTCAACCAGAAATCCCAATTTGGATCAGAGGAAACACTCTTGTGAAAACTGGTATCTATGGTCCTGGGGAAAAACATCAATGCTAGTTTCAAGTGTTTTTCAATCATTTTTCCATAGAGCTCCCAGACATTCACCTACAGTACCCCACTATCCCCAAGCACTGTGGCAGACTCTAGGTTCAGATATGCTGCCTGAATCCAGGGTGACACTTTCAAGGGCAAGAGAAATATACAGCCTTCACTACAAATCAGGTTCTGGACCCTGTTCCCTTTAGATTGCCCAAACCGGCAAGTACAGATTGTTTGCAGATTGCTGCAGTAAAACACCCTGCATTTACTGTTCTTATTTTTAAAAGTTACTTACAGCTTGGGGAAGGTATTTGCCTGACAATCTCAAGGCATGCCATTTGGTCTCAGGCTGGCTCCACACTATGCCTGCATTTGGGCCAATAAGCACAGCAGAGGGAATTTTGGCATTCTGCAGACAAATCAGGGCTTGGTCCATCAGCCAGAAAACCACTTACTGGCAAGTCCTGGTGGGGCTTCTCATAACAGAGAGTGTTGGTCACTCAAGAGCTAAAAGCAGTATTTGGAGGGTGTGGGTGGAGGTTTAACAGTCAGGGATGAAGAGGAGATAAAAAGTCAGAAAAGTGTTTCCTATCAGGGGCTGTGTCTTTGGGTGTGAATACAGAGCACCTAGTCCTGCAAGGCGCCAGTGCTAATTAGAGCTTCTGGACACTACTGAAAACCAAGTTATCAATATGTTATTAAATAAGTTATTAAAAGGAATTAGCAAGGATAGGAAACAATAACCTACCTAAAAAACCTGTTCTTTCTAGAGTCACACTCTAGCTCAACCACCAAAATCGTTTCTCCCAAAGGAAACACAGGGATAATGAACAAAGTGCAGGTAACAACCATCATTTTGCATTTATATAGCACCTCTCAAGTAAAGATTTGAAAGTGCATAACACAGATGGATCAGCTCCATCACCCCCAATTCACAGATGGGGAAATTAGGCACAGAGTTAGAGTTACATGACTTGCCCAAGGTCACATAACGAGTTGGTGGAAGAGCCAGGAATCCCAACTCCAATGAAACACTAGAACATGCTTCTTCCTAGCAGTATGAAGAGTCACTCTAGCTGTCTAGATGGTACAGGACACTGAACATGAAGATCTATTGTTATTTTCTCCTCTCTTCCAAGATTCTACCAGCGCTGAAGGAGTTAGCTACTAACATTGCTATTTACACCTGCACTGCTGGACTAGTTAAGTTTAGTCTGTAAAATTAGCCCTTCTTTCACTCATATCATTTAGCGTATGCTTACGTACACACTGAGCCAGCCTCTGCCAGGCCAAACACTGCAGGTCCAATGAATCCATGGCATAGCTCCATGGATTTCAGTGGAGTTATGCCAGGGATAAATCTGGCTCCAGAATTGCTAACGTGTGTTGGCTCCTCTCCCGACAGTGGCATTTCAGGCACGATCCCCTTCTTGCCAGATTGTGAACTCGAGGAAGTCTTTACTCAGCATCCAGTCAGTGGTTTTTCAGATGTCCATTAGTTTTCAAGTGTAACTCATCACTCCTCCGACTCCTCCAAGCACGGTACTTCTTCATGCTCTTCCTCCTAGCGAAGCGACAGATGCTGACCATGAAAACCCAGGAGACAGCATACATGATGACACCACCCAGCTTAATGTACCACCTGGGCTTGGGAGAAGCAAGCTCACAGTACATCAGCCAGGCCCCCACTCCAATCCGCACTCCAGTGAAGAGGACCACGAAGAAGAAATCCACCACATCGCCTGTGAAACTGTGGTAACATCCCATCTCCTTCAGGAACCAGCGGGCCTGCAGCAGCGGGTTAGTGATCTCACTACCAAAGATGACGGCATTGACCTCTGCAGCCGACTCCCCGAGTGCCAACGATGCTGTGATGCCCAAGATGCTCACCAGATGGTGGGCCAGCATCAGGGCACCCTCTGCCTGGAAGTACACACACCAGCAAAGGTCGAAGAGGAAGTAGCCCAAGCTAAGGCACAGCACATGTACCTGAAGAGTTGTGTTTGGTGATCCTGAAATATAAAGACACCAGACAGAGCTTTAAAGCATGGAGGCAACAAGCAGGCAGGATCTGAGACAAGGAATGGGTATTTACCTTCAGCACTGGCAGGCTGGTATTAGCTTGTACTGATCACAGCTCAGCTGGAGAAGTCAGATGAGTCACAATACTATAGTTGTTAGTCTAACAGCTGCGTGCATGTAATGGCCACACAACGTGATCACACGCTCTGCCAGATTGCAGCTGGGGAGGGCCATTACACTAGCAAAATACAGTACCAGTCTCTCCATTTCTCTAGTACTTTCCATCACAAAGCAGCTCAGCTATCATTACAATCATCATTCCTCAAGTGGGCTGGATACTGAGGTGTTAGGAGAACCCCACTTTGTGCCATCACCCATTGGGGGACTTGGGACCATGACTTCCATTACTTACCTGGGTGACTCAAAGGCCAGGGACCATCAATAAAGCCAATGTAAGCAGAGAGACAGGTAGCAAGGATGCCATGGGTCAGTGTGACCAGCCTGCAGCTCCATTCATAATTCCGGTGCTTGTAGCGATGGCAGAACCAAGCATACAGAGAGAGCCAGGCAAGCAGACTGTAGGCTACCCGCAGAGGCAGAGCGAACAGCATCCTGTCACAGGAACAGAAAACCAAAATGCATCAGAAGCTCTAGCCTTCAGCAGTGTTAGCACAACCTAGTACAGCATTTCACCCATAACCATCCCAGCACTGAGCGTACAGTGCTGTTTCCTGATGGCGTTGCTTGCTCCTGACAAAGTTTTTCTGCAGAGGAACTGCGATTCCTCTGGGGAAAGGCCTACATCAAAGAAGTGTATCCTTGAGAATTAGGGCAGATTCACCATGTGGCCACCAGCACACAGACCCCCACCAGTGTCACCTCAGCTGTGGGAAGATGCACTGAAAGCAATGACCTTGTAAGCTAGTGAGTTCCTAGCCTGGTTGAACAGAAAACATACCACGACTTGGTAAAGCACCTCGGGGGACTTCCCCAACCAGTCTACGATGCAGGATCTGCTGGGATATGTTAGTGCTCATCTGCACTGCCTGAGGGACAGGCTGAGGAGCACCACATCCAGCAATAAGGCTTTGATCCAGAGCTACACCTGCCCCTTCATTTTAGTTCCCTGCCCATATATCTGCATTTGACTGGTCTGCTTGTGTTGCCCCACCTGACCTACTCACCCTGTCATGCTCTTTGCTAGCTTGGTTCCTCCTCTCCTGAAACAAAAAAACAAGAAAACCCAAAACGCACACAGTCTCTTGCTAGGTCCACGGCTAATCAATCTTCCCAGTGCAGTGACACCAATTGCAAATAGGTCAAAAGAAACACAAAGGCATTGCCATCTCCTCCTGCTACTGAATTTTAACCTTCTAGCATCAACACATTTCCAGGACAATTTGGGGGAAAGAAAACACTGTAAAATCCCCTTGTCCTCCCCAGGAAAACTTCCAGTGAAACAACATACAGTTCAGGCTTCTTCATGAGTGTGCAAGGACAAAGCTCAGATTAGAACAAAGCACCCCCCAGCAAACGGTGATTGGATGAAGCAGCCCACCGCCTTTGGGAGCAGCCAAGCACTCACAGCCAGTCCCTTTCCTACCCCTGGCTGCAGTCCACGAGTGCCCCCCGCCCTGCCCTGCACCTCTCCTCACCAAGGCACTGGATGCTCCCTCCTCTGCAGTTTGAGAGGAGCAAGACAAGGTGAAAACCACTTAACCCTCCTAACTACAGACTTCACTCCATCTCTTCTGGCACCAAGACCTCCAAATCTTTTTGATACAAAAGGATTAGAAGCCATGCCCATCAAGATTTTTTCAGCAGTATTTCTTTTATACACCTTCTCTCACTCACTGTGCAATACAGAATCTCTCAAACAAGCAAAAGACATACTGCCAGAACAAAATTACAGGGCATAAACATCTGTGGAGGATATTGCTCTTGTTGCTAAAAGCCCCCCAAATACTCCAATATCTACATCTTGTTCCTATTTATAATACCTTTCCATGAAATATAAGATGTGTCTCATTACTTCTGAGCATTCAGGGAAGCACATCAAAAGAAGTTGAGTCACGCTCTGGGATACGTGAGTTTCCAGTTGTGTAACAGCAAAAGCACCACTGGTCCTGCTGGTACCTTCTGACCAGCGTGCTGGATTCACTGCCAGGGCTGGGGAACTCCAAAAGGACTACACGTGATGAGGAGTCAGATTTGCAATACCTAACCTTCCTGTTTGGCCTCTTGCAAGTATGACTAGGAATGACTTAGGAGGCTGGGTAAACAAAACCATTACAGTATAATGGGCCTCAGGAACAAGGGGAAATGAAATAAGGATGTGATTAACTGCTCTGAGCAGGTGTTTCCATTAACATCCCTGGTACTTGAGGTCCATAAGCATTTAGAGTCAAGGCAAATAGGGCAGGAAGAATTCTGATGTGACAAAAGGGATTGACCAGCTGAAGAAGGCTGGTAGAAGGAAGAGAAATGACCTTTTAAACATTTTGAGGCGTTTTCCACACCTACTTGTGGAGAAGATGTTTCTCCATTCCCTGGAAAGAAAGATGGGGGCTACCTTCCAATTGCACATCAGAGCTCAGTATCTGTCATGAGCACATACAACATATATTGCACCTGTGATTTACACCTGCCCCCACACACTGGAAAGGGCAATACCCCTTAAAAACATCAGTAGTTATAATCATTTGTACCACCAGTAGCAATGGGGTCATGAATGAAAGCAGGCTCTACAATAATTACATGAGCCTAAAAACCTAGTCCAGAACAGCCCTGCCCTCCCTGAAAGAGCTTAAAAACGAGATGGGCACCTCCAGCAAAGCCCCGTTACCTCTTTTTTTTTTTTTTTTTCCCCCCTGTACAAATGAGAAAATGGAGGAGCCCAGGGAGCCTAAACAACGTCCCCCAAAGCACGGACGCAGCCTGCCCAGCCGACCCGAGCCCTCCCGCAGCCAGCAGCCTCCCTCTCCGGGATGCAGCCGCCCTCCCTGCCGCCCCGCGGGCCTGGCGACGAACGAGCCCCGCTCCCCCCGCGCCCGC